GGACGGCTTCCTCACAGCAAGGGATCATTGGGGAGTGTTTAGCTTTAATATGAGCTCGGAGGCCACGCGCTTGGGTCAGCCACTGGTGACAGTACGGGCAGTGATGGACTGCCTGGGGGAGCATCTTTTTCAGCCAAGAGGCGAGCCTTTCCCAACTTCCGACTAGGTAGAGCTGACATTCAGATCTGTGGTACAGGGGAGTCGGGTTGAGATTGTGTTTTGGGGGTAGGGCGTTAAAGCCGTCTGGGACCAAAGTTCGGCAGGATTTGGTGGAGATGTGTAGTCGTAAGTTATGCCACGAATCACATTGTCGGAGGCAGTGTCGGCATTGTGGTAGACCTTCTCGACCATGCTGCCAAACGAACAGAGCGTGTTCATCTGCCGCGAAGTCAGGTAGCGAGGCCGGGGCCGTGGTAGCATCTGGGTCCATAATGACGACTGGAGTAGAGGAGGCGTGATCTGGGTCCGGAGCCTGAGCAGGAGGTGGGCGCAAGTCCGATGAGGCAGGTGCCTGTCGCACTTGAGCGTGATGGGACTTCCGCATGTGGAGACGGACGGCCTGGAGGGTGCTATAACCAACTCCGCAGATTGGGCAGTTGAGTGGCCGGTAGCTGAGAACGCTGCTGATGGGCTTGAGGTGGGCACGAGTGGAGCCTCCCCGAGAAGGGGGCATAGAGGCAGAAGGGTCGGATGCAGAGACAGCAGGCGTCGTCGAGTAGTCCTGCAGCAGATCGAACCAGGTTTCCTGCGCCTCAGTTGGAAACTCCGGGTCTTGTTGGAGATGTCGTTGGATCCGCTGGTCAAGGGTGTCGCCTGGCGGGTCGAGTTGGCTTCTGAGGAGTAGGTCGTGGGAGGTAACTTTGGTGATGTGGCCCGGTTATTTCTGGATGAGGCGGAGCTGGGCGTGGACGAACTGAGAGAGGAGGGTGCGGGAGTGGTAGGTGATGCCTGTGGCCTCCAGGGAGTAAAGGACGACCGGGTAGACACATGTCTTCCAGACGCGGATTTTGCTGTCTAAGGTCAGCGCTCGACAGCGGAGGACCTTGGCCAGTCGCCAGTAGGCCTGCCAGCCAAGGTGCAGTCGGTGCTGCAGGTTGAGAGCTTCGTGGTTCTGGTAGGCAACTCTGGCTCCAAGGTAGGTATGGGCGTCTACTATCTTGATGAGCATAGTAGTTTGGCCTACGCGAAGCTTTATTGCGGGTTCGCCTGTTTCCAGCTTGGCGAGTCTGGGGCGAAGAGTGCTCCTGGCCGCCGTACCTTGGAGATTGAGCAGGAAGACAGTTTTCGTGGGCGACACTCGGAGGCCTGCTTCGTGGAGGAGCTGGATCAGTATGCCTGCCGCGCGCAGACTGGAACGGAATTGTTCCTGTGTCCTTATGGTCCAGGAGGACCAGATATCATCGGCATAGAGGGTGGGCTCTCCCAATATCTCCTTCTTTTGGGTGATTGTTTCTTTGAACTTTAGGTAGAGCTTTGTGGTTGCCATAGACCACAAGAGGGGCGAAAGACCGCAGCCCTGACGGATGCCCTGTGAGAGCTCGACCTCGTCTTTGTGCCCTGCCAGCTCCGATTAGAAGCTGGATAATTGCCCCAGACGGGAGGTCTGGCAAAGCAGCGCCCGGGGGGTAAAAGGCACCGGCGTAGGCGATGGCTGGGCAACGGTCGGGGACTTGGCCCCCCGGAAAGAGCGTGCGCAAATGTGCCGAAACGACATCCCAACTGAAGGGGGTGTGACCAAAGGCAACGACGGCCGCCTCACCCCAGTGCAAGAGCCAAAAGCGATTGCGCGGCACAGTGGGGGGCACGAATGGGACAAACAGAACATGCTGGACGCCGCTGTCCCGGGGGCCACACGTGGACCGAAACTCACCGGGATCGTCGATGCTGTGCAAACGGCGCATGAGATCACGCAACCACCTGGTGGGGTAACCTTCAGCCCGCCATGGTAGATCCACAGGCTGGCGGACATTGAGGGTCCAGATGCGCATGATCGCAGGTAGAGCGGGCGGCTCAACGGCTGGTACCAGGGGCAGCTCCGGAACGGTTTGCATCGAGGCGGCTTGGCCACTAAGCAAGAGAAGAGCCAAGCCTCCCGCGAGCGACATTGAGCCCGCCTACAACCTGAAGGACCCCGTCAACCACCCTACCCACGAGACCAGGAAGGACCTTGGCAACAAGGGCTCGGGCTCCATGCGGGCTTGGGGTCATGAACCTCACCTCTGCTGATGGCTCAACGCTGTAGACGGCACCGTCGGGCTCGATGGCGCAGAAGAAAAACTGGGGTCTTGTTAGTGCAATTAACTTAATTGCTGGCCTGCCGGGCGGCTGACAGACCCATGGATGACTTGGGAAGCGGTGAGCCTTAAATTGGTCCCGTCTATGTTAATGTTGCATTCGTGGCATTCGGGGCTTAACCCCCAGCTATTGGGTTCTTTGTGGGCAAAGGGACACGACAACATCCTGAGCTCACCATCCCGTGGTTCAGTGATACGATTCATTGCTGGGGGGGGTCTCCTGCCAAGAGCTCTTTTCCAAGGTTCGAAGATCATGAGCCAAAGCGTCTACCAGAGTATCCATGCCTGATAACGTCCACATACGTCCATTACCGCTGCGCATCCATGCCCGAACCATGCTAATGTCCACTTACCAGTGCAAGTAGCTGTGTCTATGTCCATGTTACTGGATGTATATGTGTGTGTGTATACTGTACGCATATATGACAACAGAGGACCGGACATCTTTTTTCTGTGGGCGCAAAACATTTGGTGTGACATTGCAACTCCACAATCAAATTTTGTTGCTGCATTTTGGCATGAGAACTTAGATGGCAGGTCTGCACTTGTTTGGACATGGCAACTCCACAATCAAGTCTTGCTGCATTTCACAAGAAACATGAGAATCAATGATTTGCCGAGTCGCCTTTGCTTCTTGACGAGAAATTCCATGTGGTGGTTGCTAATTGTCTTTGCTCTTTAGGGTGTTACATGATACACGTTATGTTAGGGTGTTACATGATACACGTTATGTTAGTCTTTGTTTCGCTGGGCCATGTCGTCTGCAGCTAAGGTACTTCTCGGATACTCCTTCACACGAACATCCCAAACGCTTAAACCTTTCAACCCTAAACCCCCACGAATTCAACTCTAGGTCCTGACCCTTCCACCTCCCGACCACCTCCCACCTCCCACCTCGTTTTTTGCGTCCCCACCCACACACCCACCTCCCACCCACAAACCTCCCGCACCCGCCATCCCCCATCTCCTCCCACCTTCCGCACCTGCCACCCACACACCTCCCGACCCTGCAGGCCTTGTCAGGATGTCAGGTGCGATGCTGGGACGAGGCACTGGTCTGGCCCCGAACAGGGGCCGAACCCCGCAAGGGGTGTCACTGCAGGCCTTAAGGCCACTGAGAAGGGTGCAGTGTTGAACCCCGAAAGGGGGGAGACTTTGGGACTCCGAGAGGAGTCAACAAACCCCGAAAGGGGTGAATCAGCCAGAACCCCGAAAGGGGTGCGGACCTGGACCTCGAAAGGGGTCAATAGAACCCTGCAAGGGGTGAGTCAGCCAGAACCCCGAAAGGGGTGAGTCAGGACCCTGCAAGGGGTCAGAGAACCCCGCAAGGGGTGAGTCAGCCAGAGCCTTTGGGTGAGTCAGACCCTGCGGTCATGGAGGGGGCGTGCAGGAACCCCAAACTCCCTCCGTCCCTCCCTCCCTCTCTCTGAGACTCTCTCTCTCTCTCGCAGCTGTCTCTGTCTTGCTCGCTCTCTCTCTCTCTCTCTCTCTCTCTCTCTCTCTCTCTCTCTCTCTCTCTCTCTCTCTCTCTCTCTCTCTCTCACTCTCTCTCGGTCTCTCTCAGCGCTCTCGCGTTCTCTGGCTTTCTCTTGTCTCTATCGCTTGAACCCTGTCCCAACTCCTCTCTCTCACTCTCACCTGCTTTTGCCGAGCTCCTCTCCCTCGTTCCTGAGGCCTGAATCGTGCTGACATGCGGGCACATCACATCAATGTGCCGGGCTCAGAGTACAGCTCATTGTCACTGCACATGTCACGACATGGCTTTAAGCTGCATCAAACATTATGTCCTGCAATCCGTAAACCCCACGGAACATGAACGGTATCGGAAGGGGCGGGAGGAGAGGGGGAGAATCGCGGATCTTCGGGCTGGAGCCCAGGCCTCCAAAACAAAGGGACCCAGCAATAGGTAAAACCAGGCAGGAGGTGTGAGAAAAGAAGCTTCAAACACCAACAACTATACAACTGAAAAATGTGACATAAGGCTGCGTGGACTGTGTTGGATCTTCCGCGACTGGTGATTGCAGGGGCGGGGGGGGGGCTGAGGAGATTGTGGGGGGAGGACGAGGATTTGCTATGCATCGGAGAACGCCACCTACATGCATTGAGAACCGTTCATTCCCCTGAGTTGACTGCTGCACCGCCTGTCTGCCATCGTCCAACGCCTTGGCAGGACAAACATGACAGTGAACACCCGCCACGAAGCAGGTGCAAATTCAAGCAGTCTCTTTTGCGTTGGCGCAGCATGTCCCTGGTGTATGCCCATTTCATCCATCAGCTGGTCGGAGAACGGATTGTCCTTCAGGATTCTTTCTTTAAATTTAACGATTGAAGACAGGTAGAGTTTAGCGTCCTTGTTGAGACAGGCGAACGTGATCGATCGGAGGATAGATCTCCTCAAGCATGAATCAGCATGAGAACAGGTGTGGGCTGGGCACTTGGGGTTCAAAACGAGGCCGCGGCTGTGAAGCCAGGCAGGAGACGTTGGGCTGCGAACACTCGTCGGGGAGATGGGCACAAGCACCTGCACGGAACATGGGCCCTCCAATCCCGGGACAAGGGAACCTCCCGAAGCAGCGGCGAATCGGCCTTGTCATTGTCAGTCAAACCGGCGGGGTCCTGCGCATTGCATTTTACTGTCTGTCTGTCGTGCTCCAAGTGCGAGCAAACGGTCCTCAGCCGTGCCTTCGGATGGCACAGAAGCAGCTTTCATATCCTGCGCAACAACCATGAAGCACAGCGAGTCCAAAGCAACTCACTGCCGTTCCAGCCCGGGTCCTCAGCAAGGCTCAACTCGCGCTTCAGCTTTGCCACCTCCTTGGCAGCCTGCTTCGCGACCTCTGTTTGGCGGGCCAGCTGCTCGCCCCACCGAGTGGTGTTCTGGTTCACCTTTTTCCTGTACTCTGCGACCTCAAGCTTCATCCGCACGATCTTCTTCCGGTGCTTGCTGTTCAGCTCCTTTGTCTCACGCGAATGCTCGGCCTGGAGATCCATGATCTTTGTTTTGTGCTTTTCCACCAGCTTCTCCATGTCTTGCTCGAGCTGCTTCTTCACCTTCTCGGCATGGGTCTGCTCGTCTTTGTGCTGGCTTTCGAGCTGCTTCTTCTCCTTCTCGGCACGGCTCAGCTCGTCTTTGTGCTGGTTTTCCAGCTCCTTCTTGGCCTTCTCAAAGTTGCTCTGGTCGAGGAGCCGCTTGGCTTCGTGCTCCATCTGCAGCTTCTGCTGCTCTCCCTTCTGCTCCTTCTGGGCCTCGACCAGCTTGGCTTCCAAGTCGATGACCTGCTGTCCAAAGAAGAAGCTCCTCTGCTTCTCTTCCAGCAGCAAGTTGTTCGACGTCGTGCAGTTAGCCACTGAGGCACGCAACTCCACGGCATGGTTTTCCCTCTGCTCTTCCAGCTCTGCTTGCCAGACATTATACATCTTCTGAAGCTGTCGGTTGCAGTCCCGTCTGATCTTGGCAAAGTCTTTGGCCCCATGAATCTCATTTGGATTCATGTCCACTTTCCAGGAGGCCGGAAGTTGCAACTTGCAGGATTGCCCCGGGCCAGGGCCATTTCCGTCGTGACCAGAACTCCTCTGGTTGGCGGCCTCTTGTCCAACCTCCTGCAGTCCGGAACTTCTCGCTGGCTCGGCCTGCTTCCCATCTTTCTGGAGCAGACGATACTGCTTCCACTCTTCATCGGACCAGTCACGCCAGTCACCGGACTGCCAAGACATGCTATCGAGGGCAAAGCACAGATGTGCAGTGAGACACGGAATTTCAGAAGTAAGGAAGAATGCGTGATGAATGGTCCGAAGCTAGATATGATGACGCCGGTCCGAAGCTTGATATGATGATGCCATGAAAGACCCATGTGTGCACACGACACGAATCTGTGAGCACCGGGCACATGCAGTAGCGATGCATGTCACTTGCACACAGCACTCACACATGCAAGCACCAAAAGAAAGCTCAGCGCAGCCACGTCTTGCAACGTACCAACATGTTGACGATTGCTATAAACTGTGATTCCGTCACGGCCACTGAGTGAGTCTGGGGCAAAGGCATATGGACCAGGGTGTGTGCCGGAAGCGGACGTCATAGCCCCCAGGGCCTGAAGCATGCAATGCACGTAATGTGCTCACCATGATTGCTCCTGTTCCGTGAGGAAATGTAGGGTTTGAGGGTGTAAGACTAGCTAATTCACAATTCGCCCCACAGACCCCTCCGGTGTCGACACAGACGGGAAACGGTTCGGACTTGTACCATGCATTTTAGAGACAGACGCAGAGGCAAAGAGACGAAGGAGGAACAGCCTTTGGCTGCTGCTGGCAGCCCTTAGAGAAGAAGTGCCTGCTGCCACCAGCTAGTTGTTGGCAGCTTTACAATACACCCGCGCAAAGTTAGAAAAAACAAACATGTGTTACAGTGTGATAGGAACAGCTAGCAGTACTACCGTACTACCACTTTAAACCTGATGTAACAACGTGGCTTACATGTCTTACTGCCAAAAAAAGCGATAGAGGAGACCATGACAACATGGGGCAACAGGCGACCAGTGTGGGGTAGTACTGTAGACAAAGCCTGGTCGTGGATGTGGAGCGCAAGCGCTACCTCTTCTGATGTCAGGCCAGCTGCCTGCATTGAAGTCACAAGCTGTTCTCTTGGCAGCGAGTCAAAAGCTTTGTCAACGTCTAGGCTGAGCGAGAGGCCCCCGGCGAGTTGACAGGGGGTTACGCCAGAGTGGCGCTGGTGCCTTTTGGGGACAGCGGTTGCAGCCAAGGTTCGTGCTTCATGCAAGTGGCTGCATACACGGCTGATCGCGTCTGTGGTGCTGCGATTGCTGACGTAGGCGAATTGTGGCGCTTGGCGGATGTATGCTTCGGCTCTGTCACGTATACGGTCTGCCAGCATCATGGCTAGGATCTTGCTGCCAGGTGGGAGGAGGCAGATGGGGCGCAGTTGTTTCGGGAGACGAGCCATGGTCACCTTTGGGATGAGGCACACATGTACGCGGTGCCAGTCCTCGGGTAGGCAGTAGGTCGGCGGCTGGAGACAGTGCCTTAGGCCCTCCGCTAGGTCTGGCCCAATGGCCGTGGAGGCGGCTTGCCACACGCGAGCAGGCATGTAGTCTGGTGGAAGGGCCTTCCGGGCTGGGAGGCGCGCGAGGGCGCTGCTTACCTCGTCGGCAGTGAAGTGAAGGTCTACAGTGGGTTGTGGTGGTGTGGGTCGACTTGTGGCTGTTTGGTATAGGCCCTCGAAGTGTTGACGGATGGCCTTGAGTTCCTCCTGCGGGGACATCAGCATGCCGTCCGCATCGCGCAGCTGGATGCGGGAGTGTCGGGTCTTTGGTGCCAGGAGCCTGGTGGCTTTGTAGAGGGCTCCCGGGGTGGTGCTGCGTTCCGCCTCATTGAGGATGTTGTCAAGGCGCTCTTGTTTGCGAAGACGGCCTCGTTTGTGGAGAATGTTTTGTGTCGTGCGAATTTGCTGCGTGAGGTGAAGGGCTTGTGCTTTTTGGGCAAATGTTGTCGTAGGCTGTGCTTGTTTGAGTCGCTTTAGGCGCCAGAGCTCTTTAACAGTGATGGCGGTGTCTGGTGCGTCGTGGCTCGGTTTTGTTGGAGTAGTCCTGGAGAGGCCTGCCGAGGCTGTAAGACTGTCCCAAGTCTGTTGGAGGAGGAGATTGATGTGTCGGCAGGGGTCTGCTCCGGGGGGTGTGGGCCGAAGCTGCAGCTGGACTGCTACGGAGTGCGCAAGTTTCGGGCCAAGCGAGGGGTCCGCAGCTAACGCAGCCTGTGTGGAGGCAGCATTCCAACGTTGGCATGGGGAAGGCCTGTCTTTGGGGAGCAGGCGGTGACTTGGCCAAGGCATAGTGGTTTCGAGGGGGCGGTGGCGGTTGCCTTGTGGTGGAACGAACGGAGCGTTCCTCAGGGCGCCAGCCCGTCGCGTGCATCGGTCCGATTGAGCTTCCCTGCACAAGATGAAGTCTATGCGGGTCCTGGTTGCAGAGGGCCCCGTTCCGGCAACGTAGGTGGCGGCATTGGCTTGTCGGCCAAAGGTGGTGACAGCCAGGAGTTGATTATCCCTTAGGAGGCTTTGAAGTCTCCCGTAGTCCTTCTGTGGTGGGACCGTTTTATCGAGCAGGGCTGCTGTGCATGCCAGTCGGGGTGCATCCGGTGGCGGAACACACTGTGTGTTAAAGTCGCCGAGCACAAGCAGCTGGTGGCGTTGGGCAATCCGTCCAATGAGAGTGGACAGTTTGCTCCAGACTTTTTCTCGATACTCGAGCAGCTTTTCCTGTGTGGGGGTGACGGTGGAATTGGTGGACCAACAGTGCTGGTAGAGGCTGATGATAGAGATAGGTGGCTCGGTGGCTAGTTTAGTATACAGCAGTCTGCCAGGGATAACATGGTCAGTGCGCACCTGGTGGGTGCTGGCCAAGTCCTGGTGGATCAGGTGGAGAATTCCTGCACTGCGGGTTTTAGTATCCAGGGAGCTGTGCAAGTGCCAGTAGCCCTGGGCCTGCCACTCACTGGTGAAGGTCCAGTGGGTCTCCTGGATGGAAAGTATGTGGATCGGTCTGCCTTGAAGGGCTTCCATATGCATCCAAACATATACTTCGTCGAGTTTGGCGGTGCTGAGGCCTCCCGCGTTCCAGGAGATGGCTCGGTACCTTTTCGGGGAGGTAGCAGGCTCTGGCGGTGTGGGCAACTGGGCTTGAGCATGGGAGTCAGGTCTGACAGTATCTGAGTGGTAGACCTGGCCTTTATATCGGGCGGTTCCCGTGGTGGCAAGGCGCCTCAGGAACCTCGCGTAGGAGCGTTTCTTGACCGGAGAGGAGTGTGCAGCAAATGGCGATGCGATATCGCCTGAAGTAGGTGGCGCGCGAGGCTTTGCCGCACTGTGCGGCCTTCGAAGTGCAGTAGTAGCGACTTCAGGGGAGTTCGCGACTGTCTCCCCAACCCTCGCACCTGCCGAACTCAGAAGCTGGGATCCTAGGATGATGGCCTTGAGGTAGGCTGGGGTTCGTCCTTTTGTTCGCGTCTGAGTTCGGTCCCCGGATTTGGGACCGGGGCGGCTCGACTTATGGAGAGCTGAGAGTGTGTGTGTGCGTCGCGTCGTCTGCTCTGCAGGGGGAGAAGCAGCTCTGAGGGTATGGAGGGGCTGCTTGAGCCCAGGGGTCAACATCTTGAGAGATAGGCGAAGCTGCAGGGCACAATGGCTGACGAGAGGCAGTTGCATCAGCGTCTTTTCGCAGGTCCGTTCATGCCGTGCTGGTCGCAGCAGGGGTCCAATAATAAGGGCCATCATGTAAAGGTTAATCCAGGCTGTGTAGGTCCAGTTCCAGGCGCGGGGGTGCTTGGGGTTTCGTAGGACCTGAGAGGAGTGCCTGGTCTGTATCCGGGAGAGGAGAGGCTGTCTCATCAGTGCGGTCCGGTGCAAACTGGTGGTAATGCAGCCTGCATAGGGTGCAGGCCGGAGACGGTACGAATTCTGCCGGGTCCCCCGCCATAGGTCTGCCATCGGGCAGGGCATCACGCAATTGAGCTCTCCACGCGCTGTGACATAGGGAGATCTGAGGCCAATTGGCGAATGTCGGGGCAGTGTTCGATACCAGCCTGTAGCCTTCGCAGATGTGGAAGGCTGATGGGGTTGCTGTAGCATGGAACTCCTGGCGGGGGCGACCTTGACAGATGGCACAGGCCTCCTCAGGTTGAGCACGGAAGCTGTGGGGCCAGCCCTCCACCCAATGATCACTACACACTGGGATGGAGACAGACGAATCAAATCGAAGAGAGGTGGCCCTTGCACGACGATGTCCCGCAAGACGTCTGGCTTCTCTGCGGGCCAGCCTGTGCGGATCTGACCAGGGCTGCTGGGGATGTTAAGAGGAGTTTGAACTCTTGAGGCCGGGGCTGCTGAGAGGGTGGAGAGCTCGCAGCCAGTGAGATCTGGCTGCTCACCATACAGGCAGCGTTGCATAGGGAGAACCATCGGCAGCCGAGGTTCCGGCCACTGCAGCGACTCGGGACAGTGACCTGTAGCTGTTGCAGAAGAGCGGCAGTCAGTGGAGGAATGGCAGGGGGGACCAGGGGAGGGCAGAAGGCAGCAGCGGGGACATGCGCGGGCTCTCGCCGGAGTTTTCTTCGCAAGCTGAAGCTGAAGAGAGTCCGCGTGTCCTAGCTCTGCAGATGCCTGGTTGTAGCACTGGCAGAGCAAACTATTCAAGGCATTCTGACTCAGTGAGCGTCCATACCGACTCGCAGGAGGGCGACTCCTCTGGTTCGACCTCGACCTCAACCCACGGGCCTGCATACTGCTGGAGGTCATCTGCTGGTTCATATTCGACGTGCGGCAGTCGAAATCTGGTCTTGTGGTCTCCGGAGGCAGGTACCAGCTGAGCGGTTGCCGTGGTGCATGGGCTGGCAGCAGGGTCTGTGTCGTCCACTGAGATCGGAGTCGTTGTGGTCGATGTCCGGGGCATCCTCTTGGGAGTCGGTTTAAGCCGAGGCATCCTCTTTGTCGTTGGCTTAAGCCGAGGCATCCTCTTAGCTGCCGGCTTGTGCTGTGGACCCAGGGCCTTCGAAGAGGAGGAGGAAGGCTCGGATCCACGGCTTCCTTCTGAGGTCTCTGGGGCGGCCAGGGCATCACTGTCTTCAGCTCGCGCTTCAGCTCGCTCTTCAGCTCGGTCCGGGCTCGGCTGTGAGGAGGGCTTGCTGTCAGCTTGTGGCAGCCCCGG